TCCAGTTATCTAGCATAGACTCAGTATGAGCAGTTGAACCCTCAAAGGGATTGTTATGAATGTGGTAGTACTAGGCACATCATGGGAAAATTGTCCTAGACTTGGGAGAAACATATTTTTATAAAAGCACTCAGGCTACGTACCCCATTGCAGTTACTACTCCACTTAAATGACAAGCCAGAGGTAGGGGTCAGTATGTTTGAGGTGGAGGTGAGACTCCTAGAGGTGGAGACCCAACCCGTTGATATATTTTCCATGGTATGGCTAAGGTCGCAATACCAGATGGTGTCATTACATGTACGGTCTTGAATTATTATAAAGCAACAATTTTCATAACTTGATTTAGTTTTGAGTATCGAGGCAAGTCCTCTTATTGTTCTCCACTTATGAGTGAACTTCGTAATTCTGAAATCTACTTATATGAATACTCATGTTGGGGGATTTGATAGAGATAGCTATGTCTATCATTATGTATTGTGATTTTGTTAAACGGAAAATTATTCAAAAGAAGAAAATGGAATGTTCCAATTTGGCACAATGTGCATATTACTTGTGGTACAGAGTTGAGGATGAGATCCTTGTGTTTTATATAATGTGAAATATTTAAACTGGACTACAAGTTGTGGTAGATGTTATATAAGGACGAGGTCCTTGTGGTAAAAAAAAAGTATGTGTTTAAATGACCCCTTTGTGAAATTAAAAAATTGTACTATAGTACTTATAGGAAGTCATGCCTATTAGACTTATTTGAAAAAAAAAATTCTTGTATGAATATCTTTGTGCATAATTTGCCAGATTTGTATTGTAATTATTGAGTTTTAGACTACGAGGCGAGTGCCCGGGGGATGTAAATTGTTACTCGTTAATTCGGGTAACTAATTATGAGATCTTCATGCCTCGTTGTTAGTAAACTGGAGGTTTGAAACGAGATTTTGTTAACATGAGGTTAATTGGTGATGCTGTAATCTTTTATGAACAACTATTAAGACCAGATATATGGTTATGGTCATACATATGATGTGTTTCATGTCAAGATATCATTGTAATAATGTCGTGCTTGTAATGCAGAGATTAGTGTTATTAATATATACTTTGTGGTGCTTTGTTGGGTTGTAGACATGTTGTTAGGAGTTGTTTTGGTGTTACTCTGGTAGGTGGATAGGCCCAATTATAGGGGAGACTCTGCCGAAATTTCTAAAAAATTTGGGAGTTAGAAAAATTTGGGATATTGAGATGTGCAAAGAAAGAGATAAGTTACATTATGTGTTTAAGGACATGCTCTACTTCTCATTTGAGGACGAATGACCCTAAGTTTGGGAGAATGTAATACCCTATATTTGATGGGTGCATAGGCACGGGTTGCTATAACCAGTCGAGACTAATATCGTGTGTTGACGTGAAAATCGGACCTTTCTGGAAATGATTGGAGTGTAAGAAATTTGGTCTTCAAGTTTACAAATATGGATAAAGGAAATAATCTCAATTGAAATGGTGTTGTCGGACTTATGTCGAATGCGGTAATGTGGGATCAATCGCTAATATTTGTGTAGAAGTAAAATCAACAATTTGGTAACCTGAGAATAATTCTTAGTGCGTTCTAAGACGAACGGTTGTTTTAGAGGTGGAGAACGTGATGACCCAACATGTCATCTTAAAATTAAATAATCATCTTGGTATTTTAAGACCTTGAAAAGTAGTATCAATAATTCCTCGACTCGCGTGCACAGTTCGTATAATTTTTCGGAAGGTTTTTATGTGAAAAATGGATTAAATTGTGAACTAGAACTTTAAAACTCAACTGAGTTGACTTCGGTCAATATTTTGAGCAAACGAACCCGGATAAAAGTTTTGACCATTCCGGTAGTTCCGTATTGTGATTTGAAACTTGGTCATATACCCGAAATCGAATTCGGAGGTCCCTAGATCAAATTATCGAATCTAGAAATCTAAGGCTAAAGATTTCTTAAGTTTGACCGGAGATTTGACTTTTGAGAATAAGACCCCGGAATAGAATTTTGATGATTCCAATAGTTTCGTATGGTGATTTTGGACTTAGGCACATATTCGGAGTTGTATTTGGACGTCTGTAGGATAATTCGGCGCATTTTGGCGAAAGTTAGAAAATAGACGATTTTTTGAAAGTTTGACCGAGGGTTGACTTTTTGATATCGGGGTTGGAATCTAGTTTTGAAAATTTTCATAGCTTCGTTATGTAATTTATGACTTGTATGCAAAATTTGAAGTCATTCAGACTTGATTTGATAGGTTTTTGCATCGAATATAGAAGTTGGACGTTCTTAGACTCATTAGGCTTGAATTGGGGTGTCATGCACAGTTTTAGCATTTTATGATGTGATTTGAGGTTTTGACTAAGTTCATATGATATTTTAGGACTTTTTGGTAAATTTTGTTGAGGTGCCGAGGGCCTCGGGTGGATTTCGAAAGGTTAATGGATCAATTCGGACTTGTATTTATCTACTGAAATTTTCTGGGCAGTTTCTGCATTTTTAGCACGTGTGAACAGTGATCGCACCTACATGAACAGTATCTGTGTACAATAGTCGTGTACAGTAGCGTGTACAGTATCTGTGAACACTAACACGAAAATTCTGGACAGTGTAAAGGATGGGCAACCCGGTTTTCCTCATTTGTTTGGACTTCCAAGCTTGGATTTTGGGCAATTTTGAGCGAGAAGTTACGGAATTTCTTGGGGTAAGTGTTTTTGACTCTCTTGTGATTATATTCCATGAATAAATCTTCAGTTTTTGCTTTAAATTATTGATATTTGAAGAGAAATGGAGGAGTTTTCTAAAATTTCATAAAAATAATTTTTCAAGCTTTGAACATCGATTCAGAGTCAGATTTGAGTAAAATTAGTATGGTTGGACTCATAATTAAATGGGTTGTTGTATTTTGTGACTTTTATCGTATTCCGAGACACGGGCCCCACTGGCGATTTTTGGGTTAATTTTGGATTTTGTTGAAAAATTAGTATTTTTATATTGAATTAATTCCTAAAATATGCATTGAATGAATTGAGTTAATTGTGACTAGATTCGGGACATTTAGAGGCCGATTTGAGTAGAAAAGGCATTGTGGAGTAAGATTTTGCTCGGATTGAGGTAAGTAACGGTTATAAATTTGGTTCTGATGGTATGAAACCCCGAACATTGTGTCGTATGACTATTTTGGAGGTGACTCACATGATAGGTGACGGGCGTGTGGGCGTGCACCGTAGGGATTGTGACTTGGTCCGTCCCGCGAGACTGTGGAATTAATTTGCCTACTATTTAATACATGTTCCATATGTTTTCATAGATATTGACTGTACTTCATGTTAGAAATCATGTTTAGGCCCTATGTGATCACTGTTGAGACCTGCGAGGTCGTGTACTTACTAAATTAGTTGCTAATTGTTGTTTTGTACTTGGTCGTAGCTTTTATTGCTTATTATGCCTCCGTCTCATGCTGTTCATTATTGATACATGACATTACCTCTGCCTGGGCTGTTTATATGATTTTTGAGAGCCCGAGAGACTAGAGATATTGATGACTAAGTGAGGCTGAGGGCCTGATCTGTGAGGATTTTTATGGGATCGGGCTGCACACCGCAGCATGTTGTTACTGATTTATGATTGAGTAAGGCCAAGGGCCTGAGTGATTTATGCCATGAGGTGGCTTGTTATAGTGCTTGGGTTGAAAGAGCCCCTCCGGAGTCTGTACACACCCCCAGTGAGCGCAGGTACCTATTAAGTGCCGAGTGCTGATTGACTGGGAGGAATGAGTGAATGTGAGGAATGAGTGATTGTGAGGTTGGAGTGAATGGGAGGACAGAGTGATTGTTATTCTGAGAAAATACATTACTTCATTATTGTTGCATCGCAGATGTCATATCACTATTTTGACAATTATTGGAAGATATTATTTACTACTCAGTCAAATTTGATATTTGGTTTATTGAGTACGTATTGATGTGACTTAAACTATTAAATTGAAAGTAAAATTACTCTTATTTGAAAGTTATTGAGATAACTGTATTTGCATAGCTCGTCACTACTTCTCAATTCCTTATTTATTTCTGTTACTTACTGAGTTAGTGTACTCATGTTACCCCCTGTACCTCGTGTACAGATCCAGATACTTCTAGTCACGGCGGTTGTTGATTGAGGAGTCAGACTTAGGAGACTATTGAGGTAGCTGCATGGCATTCGCTGACCTTGACTCTCCTTTCCTTTCATGTTGTATTGTTCTATATTTTCACACAATGTTTTATCAGTCGGATGTTGTTATCATTTAGATGTTCATGCACTCAGTGACACCGGGTTTTGGGGATGGATTGTTTAGAAATTTTGGAGTTATATTCTATTCTAAAAGGTTTTATGTAATATTAACTCCTTCCGCCTTTATTTAAAAGTTCTACTGTGTTGAGATGTTGAGTTGAGGCTTGTCTTGTACCACAATAGGCGCCATCACAACGGGTGAGATTTTGGGCCGTGACAATATAGCATTTCCTTTACAGTGCATGTCATCACCCATTGAACACCAAAAAGGTTCAGGATCACCCTCCAGATAGTCGAGGACACAGGGCAATGCAACAAAAGATGATCAACTTCTTCCCCTGAGATTTTACACATATAGCACAAACTAACAAGTGTAATGCCCCTCATTTGCAGATTCTCTGCAGTCAAAATTACTCCCCTTGCCGCTGGCCATGCAAAAAAGTACACCTTCATGGGTGCCTTAGGAATCCAGTATCTATCTAAGGTATCTATTTCCTCACTCCTCCAAATGATATACAGAATTTCACACACCCTTCAAGTGTTCAAGTGAGTTTGTTAAGACAAACTATGATCTTTGGTAATCCATAGTTAAGCTATAGAAAATATTGAACATGTGGAAAAGAAGCACAGAAATCAGCTACATGCATACAATGCCAGGGTAATCTTCTATTTGCGCCATAGCAAAATAAGAAATGCGACTGCATGGGAAATGAGACAAACCTGTACTATCTCCTTCTTTTTATGAACCTCTCCTTTAGGAAGTGGAACAAACTCCTCTGCCTTAGGATCAAATTTTGTGGCAAAAGCATCACTTCTGCCCACTCTTTTAACCGCTCCACTGTTTGATTCAATGTAAATGACATCACCAACAACTACTTGCACATATATCATGGAGACATGAGATATCAACAGAGAAGATTAGGCTCCCTTGCAAAATAAGTGTATATGGGACATAAGCAAATTAAAGACAAATATAGTTCTTGCAATGCCTTCTGAGAACATGATTCAATAAGAATGACATGGAAGTTAATGAATTTACTCAAGAGTAAATATGCTTCAATCTAGATTCAAATGTTGGATGTTAATATAAATTTCATCATTATCCTATTTATTGAACATATTAACAAATTGATACTTCACTAACTTACATTCTCTTTAATTAAGGCATCATATATTGTAGGGTCAAGCTTCAATTGTTTGGTACCTTTGACAGTTTTCAACCCAATTATTACATGGCTAATACTTTTACCATATCCACCTGTCATGCTCTCACTGTGACGACCCGACCCGTCGTCTCATGAGTTACCGCTCCATTTTCTCCATTTCTGCTTCTTTATGCCTCGTTATCCGTGTTTTATGTGATCGAGTTGATTAGTTTGCGTTCGGGGTGGATTTGGTAAGAAATGAGACACTTAGTCTCTTTTAAGAAGGTTTAAGTTGGAAAACGTCAACCGAATGTTGACTTATGTGTTAGAAAACTCAGATGTGGATTCCGATGGTTCGGTTAGCTTCGAGAGGTGAATTAGGACTTAGGAGTGTGATCGGAATTGGTTTTGGAGGTCCGATGCAGAATTAGGCTTGAATTGGCAAAGTTAGTATTTTGGCGATTTCCGGTTGATAGGCGAGATATTGATCCGAGGGTCGGAATGGAATTACGAGAGTTGATGTAGTTGTGTTATGTCATTTGTGATGTGTGTGCAAAATTTCAGGTCATTAGGACGTTGTTTGATTGAGTTTTTGATCGAAAGCGTATTTCGAAAGTTTTTTAGAAAACTTAGGCTTTAATTCGATGAGAATTGATGGTTTTGGTGTTGTTTGAGGTGTTTTGATGATTGGAACAAGTTTGAATGAGGTTTTAGGACGTTTTGGTGCTCTTGGTTGAGGTCCCGGGGGCCTCGGATGAGTTTCGGGTGGTCAATCGAACCATTTTCTAAGTTGAAAAGTTGCATATTTTGGGAGTTCAGGTGTTGCAGAAAATAACCCTTCGCGTTCGCGAGGGGTATGTCGCATTCGCGTAGAAGGATTTGAGGAAGACCATAATTAAGCCTTCGCGTTCGCGAGAGGTGCCTCGCGTTCGCGAAAGGATGGGAAGCAGTGCATTGCGTTCGCGAGAAGGCACTTGCGATCGCGTAGAGCAAATTTGGGTCCAAGGCATATTTTTTCATTGCGTTCGTGTAAGGTTGTCGCGTTCGTGAAGGTGTAGGAGGCAGAAGCATCGCATTCATGATTGGTGTGACGCATTCGCATAGGGAAAAAATTGTTCAACATAAGTTTGTGCTTCGTGAACGCGAGGCGTTGACCACGTTGGCGATGAAGGAATATCAGAACTGGGCAGAAAGTTTATAAGACATTTCCTCCTCGATTTTGAGCCATTTTTCTACCATAGTTGAGCATTTTGAGAGCTCTTTGAGGGAGAATGAAGAGGGATTCAAGGAGAATTGATTGGAGGTATGTTTTATGAACCAAAAACATGAATCTATTGTGAAATTAACCTAGAAATTCATGGAATTTAAGCTAACAATGGAAGAACTAGGGCTTGGAATTTTGAACTTTTGAAATTGGGATTTGAAGGAACATTTGAGGTCGGATTGGATGACTTTTGATATGTCTGAACTCGTGGGGTGATAAGGAATCTAATGATGTGAAAATTTCTGAGTTTCGAGAAGTGGGTCCGGGGCTCGGGTTTTGCAAATTTTGGGATTTTTGATTTTTTCCGATTCTTTCGATTGGGTATTGTTCCCTTAGCCTATTGTGATGTATTCGTTGTGGGTTTTGTCAGATTCGACGCACGAGGAGGCCGATTTGAGAGGCAAGGGCATAGCGAGCTAGAGTTTTGGCCGGCTTGAGGTGAGTAATGATAGTAAATGATGTCCTGAGGGTTTGAAACCACGGATTGCACATCGTAGTGCTATATTGAGGTAAGACACACGCTGGATGATGAGCTTGGGGTCTTTTACTACTGAGGATTGTGACCTGGTCCGTCCCGATTGACGATTTTACCGCGTATTAGACTGAAATTTATTTGTTATCATCATGATTTGGGCTGATTGCCATATTTGGGCTTCGTGCCAACTATTTGGACCCTTCAGGGATTTTAATCACTATCACCTCACTGTTTGACTTATTATTTGAACTCAGTCCTATTGATATCTACTATTTTACACACTCAGCCACTTTTACTCGTATTTGAAACTTAAATGATATTTCTAAAAGATGTTTTGGGCTGAGAACTACTATTTTACTAATGCCCGAGGGGCTTGTGATGAATTTCAGACTGAGTAAGGTCGATGGTTATATGTGAGGATATGCTGAGTGATATGAGGCCGAGGGCCTGAGATACATTATATGCCACGAGGTGGGTTGAGTGATGTGAGGCCGAGTGCCGAGTGATGATGCCACGAGGTGGCTTGATATAGTGCTTGGGCCGTAAGGGTCCCCTCCGGAGTCTGCACACCCACAGTGAGCGCAGGTACCCATTATGATCTGAGAGTGAGTCCGAGGGGTTGATACTACTCTGAGTGATCGATACTGAGCCCGAGAGGCTGATACTATACTAAGAGTGAGCTCGAGGGGCTAATACTGTTCTGAGCGATTGATACTCTGCCCGTGGGGCGGATTTCTACTTGTTATTTACCTGTTAAATTACCTGTTTTACTTGTTTTTAAAAAGGAATATCATTTGATTTCTTCTCTGATTTACTACTTTAAGTGATTTTACTACTTGATATAGAATTGCTTTGTGCCTTTACGTGTTTTCATACTTTCAACCACTATTTATAATTATTACTCACTGAGTCAAAGTACTCACAATACTCCCTACACCATGTGTGCAGATTCAGGCATCTCAGAGTCCACTCCTGAGTGCTGATTCTCCCAGTTCAGGTAGTGATTCAGAGACTACGAGGTAGTTGTTGGCGTTCGTAGCCCCGTGCCTCCCTTATCTTGTCATCTTCATGTTTGTAGAACTATTGTATCGGATTTAGTGTTCAGTAGACTTGTATTCGGACTTCATAGTTGCTCATGACTTGTGACACCCCGGTTTGGGCTGTGTCGGGATGGTTTCAACTGTTGTTATCATTAATTTCACAATTTATGGATATTATATCATGCTTTAGAACTATTTATGATATTTAACTGTTTAAAAGAGGTGTTTTGTTCGGTCTGGCAAGCCTTGTCTTAGTGAGAGGCGCCATCACGACCAGGTTTGGGAATTGGGTCGTGACAAGTTGGTATCAGAGCCTAGGTTACTTAGGTCTCACGAGTCATGAGCAGGTTTAGTAGAGTCTCGCGGATCGGTACGAAGACGTCTGTATTTATCCTCGAGAGGCTACAGAACCTTTGGGAAAAACTTAATATTCTTGAAACTCTTGACGTGCGAACTCGTTTGTTCGAGAACTAAACTTCTGTATTCTATTCCCTCGTAGATGGCGAGGACTCGTGCTAACAGATGAGGCAGACGACCACAAGTACCACCCACTGAGGCCACTAGAGGCCGTGGACGCGGTCGTGATCGTGGTAGAGGCAGAGGAGTGAGGGCAGCACATGTTGATCCACTAGCTGCCCCAGCTCAGGACTAGGCTCTAGCTATGGATGCTCCAGCAGCACCAGTTCAGGCACCAGCTGTTCCCATCGTGATTCCAGGTCTTTAGGAGGCCCTGACCCAGATCATATCGGTTTGCACTAGCTTGGCTCAGGCAGTTTCAGCTACCACAACAACTACTACTTCACAGGCTGGGGGAGGCAATCAGACCTCCACTGCTCGCACACCTGAGCAGGCAGTGCAGGGATTGCAGATGCCGGGAGCACCTCCAGCTCAACCGGTTGCACCAGTTCAGGACTTTGTGGTTCCAGGTATGCCAGATGATGAGCAACGTCGTCTTGGCAGGTCTGGTAGGCTCCAGACTCCTTCATTTAGTGGTGCTGAGGGCGAGGATGCCTAGGGTTTTCTCGACAAGTGTCAGAGGATGCTCCGTATGACATGGATTCTTGAGTCTAGCAGTGTGTCATTTACCACCTTTCAGTTCACTGGGGTTGCTTTCACTTGGTGGGAGGCGTATAAGAGGCGTAGGCCGGCAGGTGCAGCGCCTTTGACTTGGCAGAAGTTCTCCAATCTCTTCTTGGAGAAGTATGTACCGCAGTCCTGCAAGTAGGAGCTGCATAGGTAGTTTGAGTGGCTTCGGCAGGGTGATATGATTGTGTCTCAGTATGAGTTGAGGTTTTCTGAGTTGGCTCGTCATGCCACCTAGATGGTCCCGACAGATCGTGAGAGGATCAAGAGGTTTGTGGATGGCCTTAACTATCATCTCTGTATTCTGATGACTAGAGATAGAGTTTTGGGTATTTCATTTGAGGAGGTGGTTGATATCGCTCATGAGATTGAGACGGCTCGCCGGCAGGATAGAGAGTAGAAGGAGGCCAAGAGGCCCCGAGGTTCTGGTAGTTTCAGTGGTGCTCCGTCTAGGGGCCAGTTCCAGCACGGTAGAGGTTGTTCTTTCAGGCTCGCTCAGCCGACCCGTCCCGAGTATCGTGGGGCATCTTCAGGTATTGGTTATCATGGCTCTTAGCAGGGTCAGCCTTCGCTCAGCACCCTTCCAGCTCAGAGTTCATCTCGTGCCCCATCTGTTCAGGGTTCTTCTATGCCAAGTGCATCAGCTAGTCACTCCGGTGTGAGGGGTTCCCTTCAGTCCCATTCTCCAGCACCTGGGAGTTGTTTTGAGTGTGGGGAGTTTGGGCATGTGTGGAGGCAGTGTCCTTGTTGTATTGCTAGTTCTTCTCAGCAGAGGGGTCAGCCCTTGTCTTCTGCTCTAGTTACTTTACCACCTGCCCAGCCAGTAAGGGGTGGAGGTCAGGCAGCCAGGAGTCGCCCTAGAGGTGGAGGCCGATCAGGCAGTGGCCAGGCCCGTTTTTATGCTATTCCAGGCAGGACCAATGCTATTGCTTCTGATGCTGTCATTACAGGTATTATTTCAGTCTGCCACAGAGATACCTCTGTCTTATTTGATCTCGGTTCCACCTATTCTTATGTGTCCTCATATTTTTCTCATCATTGGGTACGTCCCGAGGGTGTCTTGCTTTACCTGTCCACGTATCTACTCTAGTGGGCGATACTATTGTTGTAGACCATGTGTACCGGTCATGTGTTGTGACTATTGGGGGTCTGGAGACCCGAGTTGATCTATTGCTATTGTGCATGATGGACTTTGATGTTATTTTAGGCATGGATTGGTTATCTCCGTGTCATGATATTCTAGACTATCATGCCAAGACAGTCACTTTGGCTATGCCGGGTGTACCG